TGCTCTGTGCGTGACAGGGGGCAGCGCCCCAACCCCCTGATCAGCCCTGCTCTGTGCGTGACAGGGGGTGGAGCCGCAGACTCCCCATCGACCCTGCCTTGAGTGTGACAGGGGGCGGTGCCCCACCCCCCAATCAGCCCTACCCTGAGCGTGACTGGGGGTGGCATTGAAACCTCCCGATCTGCCCTGCTCTGTGCATGACAGGGGGTGGCGCCCCAACTCCCCAATCGGCCCTGCTCTGAGCCTGACCAGGGGCTGCACCTAGGGATTGGGCGTGCCCTCTGCCACCCGGGAGCAGGCCTAAGCCAGCAGGTCGTTATCTCCCGAGGGGTCCCAGACTGCGAGAGGGCACAGGCCGGGGTCAGGGACCGCCCCCCCCCCGTCCCCCTGAGTGCACAAATTTTTGTGCACCGGGCCTCTAGTTTTCAATAAGCATTACAATTTAGTAACTGTGTCTGCGTGTATATTTTTTCTTATTTTCAAAACTTGTTTAATGTTTTCCCTTTTTTTTGGTATTTAATATAGCTGACAATTTAAAGTGGAAAAGTCCTAAATGTCTATTTGAACTTTTTATCATGAAGCAATTCAACATTCTTTATCAAGTGCCTGAAAAAGAGTTCATAGCCTTTGATCAGTAGTAATGAGATTAGATTCCAAAGAGACTCCCTGCTTCTTAAGATGTAAGTAGAATTGCTTGTACTCTCAAGTTCATGAATTATGGAAGGGTCAATGTCCTCCCCAAGATTTCTGCACATTCCCAGAGGGTTTGTCTCCTTCTGGTCAGCTCTGGTTCTCTGCTCCTGCCAGATTCATTCAGCATAGGGATCTTCTAATCTAGATGCCTTAAGCCTGTTGTTGCTTGTTCTGCACAATGCTCACCCAGATTTAACACTCAGATCTTTTTTTCTTTTTAATTTTTTTTATTTATTGACTTGAGAAAGAAAAACATCAATTTGTTGTTCTACTTATTTATGCATTCATTGGTTAATTGTTGTATATGCCTTGACCAGGGATCAAACCCACAACCTTGACATACTAAGCTACTGGGCCAGGACTCAGATATTTTTCATAATTTTTACAAATTCCACTCCCATGAACTATTTGTGCACATAGCAGACTGTGGGGAATACAGACAAATAAAGGGGAGAGAGTTTACACTGCAAATGCAAATAACTTCAAGCTGAATATTGGACATATCTATTCTTAAAGGTGTGTCAGTCACCCACATCTCTAGGGGCTTTTCAGTAGTAGCTTGTATTTGTTTTCTATTCTTCTCTCCCTGTTCTTTGTTGTTTTTTTAAATACTTTTTTTTCATTGATTTCAGAGAGAGGAAGGGGAAGGGAGAGAGAGAATGACTGATCGGCTGCCTCCTGCACTGGGGATTGAGCCTGCAACCTGGGCATGTGCCCTAACTGGGAATCGAACCGTGACCTCCTGGTTCATAGGTCGATCCTCAACCACTAAGCCATGCTGGCCAGGCTTTCCTCCCTGTTCTTGATATGCTTCTCAGTAGATGGGAGTAATCTTCCCTGTCCTACTGACTTCCTGCTAGGCCTTACGACTTAATCTGGTTAATGGAGTATGTGTGGAAGTGAGTGTGCCATTTCCAAACAGGCTTTAGAGGCATGTCAAGTTTCCACCAGCCCTGCCAGAAGCAGCCCATGTTCCAGTTACTTTTTTTATTGCTTTGCCTTTAGCCTGCATCCCTTAAGATCAGACTCTCTTCCTAAGCAATATACCAAACTAGTTTATTAAACAAAGGCCATTCCAATATCTCCCTCCAACTTCCAAATCCATAATACAATTAACATGACATAACTATTTTTAAAAGTATGTTTTGATTGACTTTATAGAGACAGAGGAGGGAGGGAGAGAGATACATCGATGTGAGAGTGAAACATCCATCGACTGCCTCCTGCTGGGATCAAGCCTGCAACCCAGGTATGTGCCCTGACCCAGAATCAAACCGGCAACTTTTTGGTGCACAGGATGACACCCAACAAGTTGAGTCACACCA